CGCGGAAGAGAGTCGGGGGAGGATGAATAGCAGGCGTCGGGTGAGACGGTCAGACGCCAAGGCACAGCGACGCAAAGACGCCGGTCGGGATGGTACCAGTTGGCGTGGGTAGCGAGGCCGGTGTTGTCTGATTCAAATAGGGTTTCATCTCGCTGTTCATCGCTGCGCTCGCATATTGGCAGATTCCGAAAGGTCCCGAGACGGCTAAATTCCTAAACGAGGAGGAAAAGGTTGTGGCGGTGAATAGGTTGCGGGTCGATAGCGCAGGCACGACGGAGAGTGGACGGACTCGTTGGAAGCATGTCAGGCAGGCTCTTTCCAGCACGCATGTTCTTGTGTGCGGCCTCGGCTTCTTCTTTGGCAACACGGCCGCACAATCCTTTTCGGTATTTGCGCCGAGCATCATCAAGGACATGGGATATGCCTCCACACGAGCTCAGCTACTGTCCGTTGGACCATATGTAAGTCTACCGCGTGAAAAGCCTGGCGTAATGCCGACTGACATTTGACAGGTGGTTGCTTGCATCTTCTCCGTCTTGATCGGTTGGCTATCAGACAGGTACAAAGCCAGGGCTGTGTTGATCATCGGTTCTGCTCCATTGGGAATCATCGGTTTCTTCATGCTGGATTTCCTGCCTGCGAGCCAGCCGGGAGCCAAGTACGGTGCACTTTACCTTGCGGCAACTGGCATCTACGCATTCTTGCCAATCTGGCTTTCCTGGGCAGTCAACAACTGTGCAACTCCCACCGTCCGAGCCTCGGCCTCAGGAATCGTTTTCACCATGGGAAGTTTGGGTGGTATACTTGCTCCTTGGATTTACTTGCCTGGCGATGCACCCAATTACCGCACCGGCCACGCCATATTGTTGAGCTTTCTGTGCGGCTCCTGGGCCTGTGCCGTCGGATTACTGCTGTACTGTAAATGGGAGAACAAGCAAAGAGATTCAGGGAAGCGCGATCATGTACTCGAGGGCTTGACGGAAGCAGAGACGCTGGAGCTGAGCTCCAAACACCCGGCTTTCCGATACATGATATGAGGAGAGCGGAATCAACCTGAGATTGTATCTATGTTCAACCCTCGATAGGATTATCATCATCATTCTCTGCTTCATCCTCGACAATGCTTACGTGTGTCATTCTGAGTATCCTATCTATCTGTAATAACCACGATGATGAGGATGACCAAGCAGAAAGCCACGCTATTGAGGTTGAGAACTGCGATTACGGAGACAAAGAAGGTCGCAGCAATGGCGTAAGGGGCCGAGATAGGATGGAAATCGGACTGCACACAGTCATTGGCCAACGGGTAACACAGTTCGGCGTTTCTTCGGAACCGATGGGCGCGCGAGAATCGACCCTGCGCCGTACGACTTAGCCCCTTGCAGGGCACCAGTTGAGGACAAATCACTGCTGAGCCTGAATACGTGCTGAAAAAGAAAGGGAAAGAGTTTACTTTCACAGGGCGTGCCGGGTTCGAAGAGGGAGGATTACAACATGAATTATGCCTGGCTGTGCAAGTATTGTCCTGGGAGCTACTAAGTCGTCCTCCCTTCAAATATCTTTCGCAGTTTCTTGTCGGAGAGCTGTTTGGCCTGCTCCACGGTCATGCCCTTAAACGTTAAAAAGCCTGCCTCCACATTCTTCCTTATCGCCTTCCCCAGCGCTGTCTTTGCCTCTGCCCCTTGTGATGTTATCTTATTCGGGGGCACAAGCGAGGACACAAACCAGCTTCGCGGTCCGAACACATGTTGCGCAGAAGGCAGACATAAACCCTCAGCTAATTCAGGCCATACCGGTTGCCTCTGGCTGGGCGATTTGACCAGCAGACGCAGCAACCCACGACAAGTTACTCCAACAGAAAGAAGACTGGTCCCGTGAACTCGGCGCGATCAATGCTGAGGCTAGCAAGAAGTGGCGCCATGCGGGGTTGGAGGTCTAATATGCCTCAACCCCCGCCAGCCTCAATAACTTGAGTGAGAGTTCAGGCTTTTCCAATGGCTCTGATCTTCTGTCATCAACTGATCCATCCGGTAGAGTCGGCCGGTTTGTTCTTGGGACAATGTTATCATGAGGCCAGTGTGTCGTAGCAAGCCAACTGCCAAAGGCCTCCTTCTTAGCCTTCAGGGCTTCCTCCGTCGCGAAAGACGCAGGTGCATATGATACATAGGTAACAGTCCGTATCGTGTTGCTGTTTAATGTAGGCTCGGCTCCAAAGTGAATCAGTCGTGAGTCCCAGATGATCAAGTCTCCTGGTTGCGCAACCACCTTGTGCTCACGATACCCCTCCTTCTCGAACCAGGCAATGTGCTCAGGGGTGTAGCTGAAGATGTCTCTTCGCGTCCACTGCGACTTGTCGATGTGTTCGCGGAAGAACGACTCTGTGATCTTGTGCGTTCCCGGGTACACCGTTAATCCGCCGTCCTCGGGCCCAGCCCTTGAGAGGTTCACTATGCCCTGCACGCACTCTAGGCCTTGTCTGTATGGGCTCTGGTCGACATGCGGCCACTTGTCTCTGGGGACGTGGCCTGGTCTGTGTGGGAGGGTGATGTTGAGGGCGTCGAATGAGACGATGAGCTCGCGCGTGTTCCAAACTTTTGCAAAGACGTCAATGACGCCTGGTTCCTGACGGATATCCCACATGAACTTCTCGTGGACAACTCCGTAGTGGTTGACTGTGTTGATTCCGGATATGAATGGCAGGTTTTCGGGCGTCCACGTCGCAGAGTCTGTCAGATCCAAGGCGGGGTTGTCAAAGGACTTGAGCCAAGCAAACGCTTTCTTCTGATACTCGATGGCTTTGTCGTGGGGTATCACGGATGGTATGACAGCGAAGCCATCCTTTTCGAATTGGTTGTACCAATCTGGTCTCGCCATTTCAATTTTGAGGGTCGATGGTTGTATGAATTCCAAAGTTGTACTGATTTTTTTCTTTCGTGCGATTAATTTCGTAGGAGGAGCTGTCGCATTGACTTGGTTGAGGGGTTCTTGTTTCCTGGGATCGGTCGATGGCGCCAGATAGAGAGGAGCATGCTTCTCTACTTTCATGTGGAGAGCACGAAACGTTGCCGACTGATGAGGTGCTCTCAAAGCATCCACTTCGGCTGATTGTCACCCGTCATCACACTACTACACCCGGAGCTTCCTGCGAGGTCGGCGTCGCTCAACCGCATGTGGTTTCTGTTTCGATTGTTTAGTGGAGCGCTAACAAATCAAGCATCGAATTTTGAACATCCTGGATTGAGTTTTGTCGACCATGCCGATGTGGAGTATCAGCGTTTCACAGCGAATTAGGTTGGATAATTCTGTTCATATATTACTTTATCTACTGAAGACACAGGATAGCAGTATTTCCAATTTCCAATTCACATTCCTCCTGGCCATGAAGGGGCTTGTCATGTTTCTCGACGAGGACACCAGGAGGATCGATGAAGATTTTAGCTCCAATTTCAAACTGAAACACTTTTCCTCGAATCTTCCTCCAAGACATCATCTGATGGCCTCGTACCAATTGTACGAACCACGAAGTAAGTTGGGATAAGCGCTAGACCCCATAGGCCAAAGTTCACGCTCGCGGCGGCAATTAGCTTTGACGGATGTTAGCTTCTTCCTCATGATATGTAGAAGAATGGGATATCTTTTCTCGTTCATGTATAATTTCAACCAGTGAGGCGAACTTACGGGAGCGTGGGTAGAGCTAATACCGGATGCCACTGCACCTCCGGCCGCCTCAACCGCCCGAACCGTTGACGTAAAGCGGATAATCTCCGCATTGTCGCGAGCCATATACCCGGCAAGCCAATATCCATAGTTGTATGCCAACGCACTGCTACTCGTCAGTACCAAATGAAAGTGTGAAAGATTGTAGATGGCCAGGACTCACAAGTTGACCTGCAGAAGGATGTAAAGCGCCCATCCACGACCGAAACCACTGTCTTCCCAGTCCAGTGCAGGAGCTTTCAGACCATATTCACGCTGGATGACAATTGCCCATACCCAAGTGCCCCCAAACAATGACATTGTCCCGAAATAAGCGAGCCGCGCACGCTGGTTGATGGTGAATCGCTTCCAGTCCAAAAAGTTACCAAAAATGAAATTGCCAGTGATTTGAGCTAGCGCCGAGACCAAAGATGCCAGAGCGCGGGAACGGACGGAAAAGTAGAGGGACAAGTAGGATCCCGCATAGGACAGCAGGAATGTCACGTAAAAGAAGTAGGGGAAACTTTGCAAGTCTCGTTAGTATCATTTATCAGAAGATCGTAGCCAGAGTTTGTCTCGTCGTCTCAACACTTACACCAGCAAGAAATCCTTGCGGATAAGGATCTTGGCAACGGCTTTCAGCTCTGAGACCGTGGGGATTCGCTCAGCCTTTATAAGTTTTCTTCCATCTTGACGTTGAACCTTCTCGGGCGGAGACAGAAGCATGGCAACAAAGGGGCCGAGGCATTCTGGGAATGATGAGATACTGGTAGCGGAGCCGCATACTAGAGTCAGGGAACTTACGCAAGGCCACAAAGACGATGTAGGTTCTATAGTCCAACTTTCCCGTCGTTTTACCAGTGGAATCTGAGACGTCGTCAGTAATGATACGTGTAATCGCAGAATACTTCGTACTGACTGAATGCAAGGTTGATGACACCCCCAACGATAGATCCACCCTGAAAATTTGTGAGCATTGTCCGCTGCCCACAACGTCAGCACACCACCACTCACGTTTCTGTATGCCAGCCAATATGCCAAATATCTTCCGCGCTTGTGGTCTTCTGGATCTACATGTAGATGTCAGATATACCTCAGCTAGCTAATACGGCTTTCCGATACCCACAACTAATCATAATCGCGCCTTCGGCTGCCCAGAACACACCGGCAGTGATGCCACAAGCGGCAGAGCCAACATAGACGAACCACTCATTGCCGTAACGATTGTTTGTGTAAAGTGACGCCGAGTAAATGGCACTATTCGGTGTCAACATTGTCCAAGAAAATGTCGAAAAGAAGGCCGGAGGTAGCTTACTATCCAGTCGTGCCGAATATCAGGGCATTCTTGAGGCCGATTCTATTGGCAACGACACTTCCCATGGAGCATGTTACAACCATCATGACGCCTAGAACCGCATTTGCGGACCTGGGGGTTCGGTTAGTCCATGAAGCATGAGGCGCTAACTTCTTCAACTAGAGACTTACATGACGAGGTAAGGAGTCTGTTGGCCGCCTGCACCCGTTGACTGCATGGCATTCCACAACCCTGGGGCAAAGAATGCACAAAAGCCAATCACCGTGGCCTGAAAGAAGACGGTTCGGTACCATGTTCGTCTGCCAATGCTCTGTTCTCCAAACTCCGGTACGACGTCCTCCCGAATGGCTGAGTTTTCTTCGCGGGGTTGAGATTTTGGATTGACCATGATGGCAAGATTATGATTGGACGAATAAAAAGATGCAGCTTGGCATAATAAAGTACTCAATAGAATTCAATCATGTAGAAGGTCGAAACTAGATTCGAATGCTCATCTGAGGCTGCCCTGTACCGCGATACTCAAGAGTCGATGTCCACGATGAAATACAGGAGTCTCGAAATGGTTCAAGCTATAGATGGAATCTGATCAACACCCTAGTATTATCTTACCGATAGCGGTGGTTGAGTGTGTCGCGATCTGAGTTATCATGGCGTGCTTATTATGTCTCCACATCAAGTGCAAAGATAGTCGAAGTATTCTTGGCTGTGACGATGTGACGATAGGTTCAGGGGCCCATGTAGCGTTCAGTAGCAATTTGAGCAATTAAAATCTTCGTTGTTGCTGCATGTGGGGAGCGAAAACACAAGTATGCGACCACTCTTTGGCCGAAAAGAACGCGTTCTTGCCAAGCCTTATAAAGCGCCCGTCGGTCGCTGTAAATATCAGCCATTCATTTGAATGAGACAAAATCCAAGAGTTAGAAGACGGCGATGAAGAACCAAGTGTCGCTGATCAACTTCGGTTCATTTTCGAAGGAGTATTTGAGAATTGGTCGGTATTGTGATATCCCCGGATCAAGAGATGGTTGGACTTTTTACCTAACACCCATGCAGCTGGGCTTTAACTCCCCAGTTTTCGACACTCCACTGCACTTTTCTCCCAGATAAGTACCATATCTAACTGTCACCTCATCTTGGAAATGGAATTTTTGCTTTCTTGGGCATCATTCATTCATTCATATCTGCCTTCCTGCGCATTCTTTATTCCTGATGTAAGGAGGTGTTTGCCGACTCTTTGGGTCTCGGGATCAGCATCCAGCTTACACCTGTGCCTGTGATCAGTGCAATCAGGATAGGCTGCAGAACGCTAACACCTTTACGAGATGCAATGACACCGGTGATGACGGGGAACAGTGATCCACCAATCTGCCCAATTACAAATACGAACGAGAGAGCTGTCGGCTGAACCTCTGGCGAGAAGAGTTTAGATCCGACAGATATGCCCTAGGGATTGTCAGATGTCTGGGTCTTGCTGCGAGTCTCGGGGCGTAGCTTACCGTTGCGAACATCGGCCCAGAAAAGAATCCGAAGAAACTGATCGCTACTGAAGCGGCAATGATATTGGGTACCCTGTTGCAAAGGTCAGATGGATTGCGAGCCATGCATTTGATGACCTGTGTACTTACAGCCAGAAAACCAACTGGAAGACGATGCAGAGAGCCACGTAAAGCAGAATCATCCGTCTTTCTCCAAGACGGTAGGTTGGCTCGGCCAGAAGGAGGCGGCCTAGCATGGCACCCCCGTTGAAGCCTGCCGGGACATAACCCATTGCGCCGAGGTTGCCGCCACGGATCTCGACAAGGTATTCGACGATCCATCCACTTGCTGTGATGGTTGCTCCTAGTAGGAAGAAGAAGAAAATGCTTACCATCCATAGCGATTTGGATCGTAGAGCGGTCTTCATTAGTTGGGATGCGCTTTTCTTCTCGTCACCGTTGACTTCGGCCTCTGGCCTGTCCACACCCGTTCGTTTTCGTCCAAACCTGATGGTATCTCGGAAGGCGTAACAGGTCAAGCCAAAGTTCAAGACACCAATAGCGAGGGGGAAGATGTAGAACAGATACCACCGAGATGTTTCCCCTGCCGAAGCAATTGGTGTCGCAACGAATGGGGCTACAAGACATCCTGCCATATACAACGCATGGATGAAAGCAAGCCATCGATGTGCGGCCTTTGCGCTAGCCACATAGGCATTTGCACCTGCATCTTGGTACGCTTGCCCGAGACATACGAGCCAAAATGTGACAGCAAAGAACGGGAACGGGGGCCGCCATACTCGGAGAGCATGGGCCAGCACTTGGAAGAAGGCGCCAAAAGCGAGCAGTCCGCCCAGGTCAAAGTTTTGGCGGAGATGGGTGTTTGTGAGAGCCGCGAGAAACCAGCCGAGGAAGTTTGCTCCGTAGCTTGAATTAGGCGTCAGTACTATAACCCAGGTTTGAATACAAAGATTTCGTGACGCACACGATAGACACGACTGCTGTAGTGATGTTATAGTCGCGGATCATGTACGGAAGGAGAGGACCGACACTGCCGTCGTTAACTCCGGAGATGAAGAAGGCGAAACCAGCAGCGATCAGCTTCAAGAGGGTGGCATTGTCAAGTTTGTCGTTCTGGTCCGTCTCAGGAGGGGCGTCGGATCCCAGAACTCGTTCATTGCGAGGTTGCTCAAGCGCATCCGTAAGTTGGTAAGACTCAGATACTGTATGCGGCTGCTGGGTGATAGTGGTCATGATGTAGTTTAGAATAAGCGCGAGGTGGCTATCCTATAACTTGTGAGACGAGCCACGAGGAGAAGACGAGCCTATGCTTTATGAAGGACGGATCCGGAGTCTGGGGAGGGACGGCTAAACAACGGCCCCACCTTTGCGGCCGGGCTGGTTGTCGTGCCTGAAGGGGACAATGGGCTAAACTCCGGCGGGCCATATGGAGCCCGTACTGAGTCGCACTGTGCGGCCTCGACCAATAACGGTAGGTTTCCCCGCAAGAAGCCGGAGTGGACCGGAATGTCGGGCCCGCCTCCGCCGAGCTACTCCGGACTAATCCCGGAACAACATACAAGACCATTTGGCACTATGATTGAATTCGGGACAGTCATCCCGTTCAGTGCGAGTATTTCTCAGCTTGCGAAGTTCGAGACTTACTTGGAGGTGACGTCTTTGAAGACTCTACGTCGAGAAGCCTTGGAGGCTGAGAATCTGCAGCCTTGTAACTCCATTGAATCCAGTGATAACCCACCGTGTCTCCAGAGTTCAAATACTGGCGCTCGAAATTGTCTCATTAGCGATGAAATTGCTTTCATTTTTACAGGGGAGTAGAGTTCTCCAAGTTATTTTCATCGCGGTATAAGAATGACCAAAATAGTCTGAAATTGTCGAAGATGCTGATCTAAGGCGCTCAAGTCAATTTATTGCCTAGTATCTGATTCAGAAATTTTTTCGCCCCTTTTGGCTGCCACACTGTTGTTAATCTAGCCCGGCCGATTTCAAAACTCTGCAGACGAAGTTGTCAGGAGCGAGGATTTGAATTTTATACTCCAGAGTTCTTGGCCCCAGCATTCCCGGCGTAATGGACCATCCACCACTACAACGGCATTGAGACAGTTGGAGCAAGTGTGAAACCAATCTCGAGTTCTACGCCACGCTCATTGACTTGAATTGCACGGTTGAGTCCGAATGTATGGCTCGAGACTATGCCGATAGTTTTGGTCAAGTGCTCGCATTCGGACATTCTATCGGGACAGAATCATCCAATCGGAACAGGTATTCCACGTCTGTTACCGGACTGTCAAATCAAAGTCGTGTCAATGCGTCATGACTCTGATGAACTTGTGCCGAAACCTTCAGTGACCGTCAAGTCATTGACGATGACGCCTCCGACCCAGGCGTGTGAAGCGGGGGTACGCTTAGTAGGTAGGTTAAGTTGGGTTTGATTCCTATCGGCGTCAACTGGTGTTTTGGCCGAACGGCATACTTTCCAGGAACAGTGCTTGCGCTGCCTTAGTGGGTTTGTGTCTGTTGTTCTTAAAATAGAACGGTTTCGTGCGCCCTTGAATCTTGATCAGACGGGAAAGTCTAACCCATCTCCCGTCAAATCAGACGTTAGTCAATCTCCCGCATCAGAAAGGCGATGTCCTCTCAAATCTACGATTGTGGAGTTATTATTCTCCAACTTTTGCGTTTTTTGTTTGGTTGGATTTCATCTAGTATCTGAACTTGTAATAGACGAGCTCATACATCTCTTGGACCAAGATTTCTCGTTATCCACATGTCATACGCACGTACACAAACTTGTGAATCTTCTGTGCCAGACAGTGATAGGAGTTTTCTATGTGTATATAAACGAGTGACATAACGAAGTAGGATCAAAATATTGTACGCAAAAAGCCGCCCAGTGGACTCAAAAGTGAGCGAGAGTTCAATAGGGCCGCGGCAATAGAATCGCAGATCACCAGCCGAAATTGGCCACAAGGTTTCGCCGCTTTAAGCTCAACCGCCGGCGTCTGTCGAATGCTGTCCCAGTTGATTTCCCTGCTGCTGCTGCCCCCTCTCCGCCTAGGACTGCTTCCTTTGCCTTCTTTGCCTCGGGGTCATCGGATTTACCCTTGCCCTTGGCTTTTACATTTGAGCCTGCCGTTGCAGTACCATTGACGGCCGCCCCTGGGATTGCTCCAGTACCCTTTCCGTCCTTCAATTGCTTCGCATCTTTGCCCTTGGCGTCCTCGCCCTTCTTTCCCTTATTGCCAGAAGGCGCAAGGGCTGTTCCATTGGCGGCCGTCATACCAGGACCAGTAGCACCTACTACTTGTCCCTCAGCCTTCTTCTTGGCTTCATCCCTTGCTTTCTTTCCGGCGTCATCCTTTCCCTTGCCTTTCTTGTCCTTCCTCTTCTTCCCGGCTGGATCAGTTCCATTTGCCGCGAGCGGGGGAGGGGGAGATTGAGCTGCGGGCACAGCAGGTTGAAGAGGTGCTCCAACAGCCAGTGGCGCGAGAGGTTGCCCGTTCACAGCTGGAGCAGCCTCAGGAGGGGGTGGTGGTGGTCCCTCAGCGTCAGGCGGCGGCGGAGGGCGAGCGTTCGGGTCGGAAGCCGGCCCACCATCTGGAGGCGGCATAGGAGGGCCATCATCAGGCGGAGGGGGAGGCGCCTCGCCGAGTGGAGGTGGTGGGGGAGGGGCATTCGGATCAGGTGCAGGACCTCCATCAGGAGGTGGCGGAGGGGCAGTGTTTGGGTCGGGAGCTGGCCCTCCATCTGGAGGTGGTGGTGGCGGTTCTGCATTAGGATCAGGCGGTGGCGGTGGTGCACCATCAGGGAGTGGAGGAGGAGGCGCATTCGGGTCCGGAGGAGGTGGAGGAGGAGCATTTGGGTCAGGAGGCGGTGGAGGTGCCCCGTTGGGCGGCGGCGGCGGTGGTGCACCATTCGCCGGAGGGGGAGGAGGAGGAGGAATGCCATTAGCGGGAGGCGGCGGTGGAGGAGCGGCGTTTGGGTCGGGAGGCGGAGGGGGCGCACCGTTCGCCAGAGGAGGAGGAGGAGGAGGAGCCTGTCCCGCGGCCGATGCTGGTGGTGCTGCCGGCTGAGCCTGAGGAGCGGCAGGAACAGCCTCATCAGCAGCTAAGGTAGCTACATTTGGAGTTTCATCGCCTGTACGGAGTCAGCTTTTGGATGATACGCGGTATGTGAGTAGGGAGACAGACCTTTTGCGTTATTATTACTGCTACCGAGGGCAGACAATACGCTGTCGACATCCAACTTTTGTACAAAGTTTCTGACGTTCAGGTTTCGAGCCTTTACGGAAGCAACAATCGAAGCCCGCTTCGTATCTTCCGAGGCTTCATTACTTCGCCGACTATCGTAGCTGGCTGTCACCGCCACGTTGAAGAGCAACGCTGCCACGGCGGCTTGGCGCAATGAGAGAGAGAATGTCATCGAGACTTAGTGCACTAAACGAACATAAAAACTTGGTAATGATTGTAAAGTGGGACCCTCTGTGGCGTCAAGCCTAGCAGAAAAGGAAAAGAAAAGAAAGGAAGTCTACGCAGTAGACTATTAAAAGCAAAGAACGAGATGAAGAGAAGATGGTGAGGCGAACAAGTAGGTCAGAGCAGAAGATCTGGACCGAGAGAGAAGAGACGAAAGTCTCAGTCTAGATATAAGATCGTTCGCCGAAGAGGTGTGGTTGCGTGATGCTACACTACCTTTGGCTCAGTCTGCTGAATCTTCTCTTCTCCGGACAACCGCCACACTGATGGCTATCCGACCCAGACACTAGTTGGTAAAGCCCAGGGGCCTGTTTGAAGAATTTGGTGAACGAAAAAATCGTAAGTTCCAGGATGACCGACCCAGCTGGACCGAGTGCGAGATCTAGGCCCAGGTGCCATGAATGAAGTGGTAGGGTAAAGGAGAGCAGCTCGCCACAGAACGGTTCGATACCACGCTCGAGAGTCTCTGGCTTGAGGACAGGTGATAGAAACGGCGCTGTGACAGGCCTCGACAGGCCTGCAGGTCCAAAATTAGACTCAGAGTCGAGACGATCCGGACTCATTTATGGACTGCATGGTAGGTGCTCGGAGGCGATCGCCAAGGGAATCCCCTTGAGGGAGGACACGGACAATGCGGACAAGGCTTGTAGACAAGCTTATTCACGTCAACGTTGCGGCGGCCCGCAGGGATCTGCGCTCGGGACCAGTCCTGAGTGAGGTGCTGCTCCAGGCTTGTAAAAAGGCGCCGTTTCCTCAAAACAGGCGTGCGGGGGGTTTCTTGTCTGTGATCAAACTAGGAGAGGTCGACCAGATGTAGGGGAGAGAAATGTCGGGCATCCTCCACGGCAGGATTATCCAATGCGAAGGGGGGCCAAGCAAGACTTGAGAACCGCCGGCACCATCGCAAAAAGGGGAATTTGCTCCATTGCTGGGGAGGAGACGGGTGGCCATGTCTGACCGTAGCAGCACTATCGACAGATTCGGACTGGTGGAGGAGAGTCGCTTGAGGAAGAATTGTTTCAGTTCGGGGCCATCCCACCCGAAATGCCTTCATCGCTGAGTGCAAACTGTGGCCCTCAGGAGTGGCTGAGCGTCCTGTCACACCAAGTTGCAGATGTGTGCCAAGAGGGATTGACATTGCATAGAAGTGAACCTGGGAGGAAAACTCAAATGCCATCAGACGACTATTTAAAAGTCGGCAAACCTGTTTCACGTTGTCTCTATTGGGGGATCTCATAGCGCTCTAACAGATCTTGGTGTAGCTTTGCGCATTCTGTCTTAACACACTATCAGTGTCATCTAGGACACAGATCGTCTCAGACTTCGGGGCCACTGGACCACACGCCTGGAACAGGAACTCTGTGCAGCCGGAATACCCTGGAGTCAGGTTTGTGGGTAAGTTGGGTTGATTCATCCGCCTCGGTCATCTGAAAGATTAATTTGCCAATGTGAGTTTTCAGTCAACCTCCAGCCCCCCATTTACAATCAAAAAACCCTGAATGACGAACGGTAGGCATGAGTAACGGCCCAGTAAATTGTTTACTTCCATTGGCTCTAAAACCTGAAAGATTCACGAATCATATGATGGTTGACATCTGCAAACTTGTTTAAGTCATAAATCATTCTCGGGAACAATTGAGTAGAGATGTGAAGAGCCCTCGACAAGAAAGTAGTGACCAATCGGCCCATATCACGGACCCAAAAAACATCTCGCCTACTCTTGTGTAATTCGATATACTTATAAAGCCATGTGTCAATCTTGATTGCAACAACCTCTGGGAAGACATAATTACAAACTTGAGTTATTGTCATTGGTCAAAATACTCCGGTCATTTTGGAAGTCTCGGAGAAAGCATGTTTCTTAGAAGTGGCCGGCTGGCATCACACCCACAAAAGGCTATATTTCACGAGGTTAGACGAAGGCATTGCGGATGTGATAAGGATGTCTGCCTTACAAAATTGGACGGTCTTTGAAGTCTATCTCCTGATCTCTTGTTGTCGCCACACATAACTTAGATGTTGCGAGCACAATGTTTCTCGGTAGATCACCTAAGCCCTTGTGTGGATGCCCTTCGGAACAAGTTGTCAGAGTACGGTGGCGATGCATGAATTGAACTTGAATCAGCTTGATCAGTCTGCTGTTGTAACACCTGAGCCCCATATCCATGGGTTGCTTTCGTGTGTGTCTCGCTGCTTGACAGGCAAAAAAGTACTTATCTTTTCATATTGAGAAAACAAGACCTTGTCGGGAAACTCTGACTCGCAAGGCTTCCAATAAAACGGACGCTGTTATCCAAAATGTAAAGAGCTAGGGTATACGACGGATGATTGTCTCGTCCTCCGGCTCAGTGTAGTGGTAACCGTGCATTCATCGCTAGTGTCAGCACTTGCAACGCTCCAGCCGTCCCACACCCGACACTCTATCAGACCTGTGATGCTGGTGTTGGTGAAACTTGGTGCGAAACTCCAATTCTCCATCTGTTGCCCCCTCGAGGATCCGCTCTTGTAGCCGACGCTCATTCTCGCTATCTGGATCATTTCCCAGTGGAACCATCAAGACTATCCACTATTAGAAAGCCCAGCAAGCTAGCAGCAGAGAATGCCTCTTTTCAGTTGAAAGAATATCTTAGATTCACAGAATTACCGTCTGTTCAATAATCAAAATGTAACTACCGATCTTGTTTGTAGACGCATCCCAATAGAGTTTCAATCTGCACGATCACTCACGGCCTGGAGGCTTAAAATAACTGCTGGCGAACACCACATGTTTGATTTCTGGTTTCATTGTTGCAGTGACACTGACAGGCTCACAGACGTCCCAACATCTGAACTCAAATTACTCGCAAACATCCTTGGGACTAAATCCATGGGCATACCTGGGAAACTTCCTACCTTAAGCTAAGGAGGCAAAAACCTCGCCATCGATTGCGGGAGACAATTTTGGGTATGCTCTGCAAGAAATGGGCTGGCATAATCCGACACGGAGCGTAAGTTGCCTTCTGGCGTTGATGAAAAACCCTCCGTCCTCCGAGTTATCATTCATGAAGCCTCTCGCAATTCATGGTTTTGCCATTGCTCTTGACCCTTGTTCAAATCAAGGGACATAATCCCTCTTGGTGTTTCCAGCGTCTTCTTCCTCTTCAAATGCTCTGACCCCTTTGATCACCACCATTGGCACTAGTGTGGACTGCTGTTTGGGACAGGCTCCGCGCCAAGAGAAAGCTTATCATATCTGGTGATATTGTTGGCCCATATTGGCCCATACCAAATGACTAGCTTGTTGATATTAACCCTGAGCTCTTACATGGCGGGTGATGACTAACTTCGACTGGGAGCTGGATTCCCCGCATTCTGCTGCTCCCCCGGATTCAGGGTGACCCCGTGAACCCGGTTCCCCGCAGTCCGGATGTGCCCCCAAATTGAGTCGAAGGCTACTTCTGCATCGTCCAACCATCTTCGTCCCATTGTAACCCCATCGTATCATTGGCAAAGACGCATCACGAATCGCATGTGCAGCGGCAGCGGCAGCAATAAACCATGGCCACAGAACATATAAGCTCGGCGAACCCTGTTGCCGTGACCGATGACGCCGCGTCACGTCGCGCGAAGAAGAGGGAGCTCGACCGACGTGCGCAGCGGGCTGCCCGGGAACGGAACAAGAATCGCATCGCTTACCTGGAAGCAACTCTCCAGGCTATGAGCGAGCAAGAACAAAATGGAAAGATTGCCAGTTTGATGAACCAACTATCCGACATGACGAGACAAAGGGATAGCCTTTCGAAGACACTATCTTCACTTGAGACAACAATCGAAATCCACCGTCAAGACGAGCGCGTCAATCCCTTGCAGGACCGGTTATCAGAACCCCGTGATACGGCTTCCAACTGTCAGCCTTGGTCTGGCACTCATGAGGGCGGAATCAGTTTCGACCTGGACGTTGAAGATGTGCCGCTGGATGTCTTCACCCCTGGCATTCCCGCCATGACTTGGGGGCTCCCGGTGTCAGACGCAGCCCGCCATACTATTGCAACAGAGACGGAACCATCCAACGGAATCTCCGCCCCATCAACCCTTACCCTGGCAGGGAACCCTCATCTGGAATCTCTATCCGACACCCCTCCGCCTCGTACTCAGGGCGATGGTATCATCGTGCCGGAGCCGGATCGTGCCTGTGAGTGCCTAGGATCAAGACAGGATCCTCAAAGCCCTGGACAAGCTACGACAAGCCTATGGCGATCTGCAAACGAAGCTCTCGGCGCGAGGGAGATGCTCCCCAAAAGCGTTTTGAATATGGAAGACGAGATGAGCGATGACATTCCAGTCCGCGTCATCTTGGAAGGATGGGACGGCGTAGAAAGGTCAGGGAAACTACCGCCCCTATGGAGAAGGTTGCGCCAGACCGATACCCTCCAGTTCAGCAACTGTCCGGATACCGAACGGCTGGCTATCCTAAGACTCATGCACCGCCTGCTCCGGTACCAAGCCGAGCCCACAGTCGAACAATGCGCCAAGTTACCGGCATGGTATCTAAGCAGGTAAGCACTAAGGTTAGCCAACAGCTATTGTATGACTTCTCTGACAAATACACAAAGGCCATCTCAATCTCTACCTCATTCCTCCGCAATAGACTTCTTCGTCTGGTGAGTCTCCTCCAAACATTAGATTTTCATGCGATGAAAAGTTACTGATCGTTGCTCCGCTTTCCAAAATAGGCCGGGCGTTCGAGAACGCTTTGTGTTTTCGCAGCACCAGTATTGTTCGAACCTGTTCTGGGAGGTGTTTGCAAGCAGCTTCCGAATTATGTGGCCCTTTGAGTTCCGTGACTGTTACAGGCGAAACATTGAGACTAGGCGGTACTGCGTAGCCCCAGAGTTCGAGGACAGGATTCGCGATATCAACTCCTGGACCATGTCGTCAGACTTTTTCAACCATTTCCCAGAGATGTACGCTGACATTCCGGCATATCAAGAAGTGCCAAGGGGTTTGACTTGGAAGAATGTTGGCAAGAGTAGCCAACGGCACAGGGAACGGATTGAGGAGCTCGAGACCGCCAGCTCGCCACGGAGCAGGAGGAACTCTAACATGGAGATGCTGAACCAGACAGCACTACAAAATTGGCCTGCAGTTGACTTTCTACTTTCAAATACTTCAGGTTCCTAGCTTGATTTCTCTGCAGCGCCGAATCTTAGTCACTCAATTACCAGTTCTTATCTAAGGAAAACTAGCATTCACCCTCTTGAAGCCTACCGTACTTCATTTGCTGTTTACATGTATCTACATGTTCTATTCGCACCCAAAACTCAAGGCATTCTTCATATCCCCAGTTCCTTTGTACTTGATAGATTGGGGATAGGGACAAAGGTTCCGGGTGGTGTTCACGCCATCTTGTGTCACAACAGCAAAGAGGGTGTTTGGCACCTTGCCATTTTCGACCCAATCGACGAGTATAGAGAGTGGCTCAACAGGAACGGGACCGTACCCGCCACCGCAATGTCCCGCCCCCGGTGCCAAGAACAACCGATAGAAGCTCTCGAGAGACTCCGAACCACCCATTCTCTTTTGAAGTCTGTCCCAAAATAGCGTCGATCCAAGATGGGAGATGAGCGGATCAGCCATGCCATGCCAGGTCAACAGCTTCCCACCGGCATTCTTGAACTCTGTGAGATCGGGATCATCTGATCCATAAGACTTCACATACTTTTCCACGGACTCATTGAAAATTTCCTCAAACTCTCCAAAGGTAAGAGACGCGGTATCGAGATCCGGATCCTGGGCCACGAAGTATCGTATCCACGCTTCGGCGGGGGAGAAAGGCACAGGTACGGTGACACTGTCAGCCGTCTTCGTGTTGGCGACACCGCTGAATGATGCACCTGGCGGGATACCGTACCACAAGAAGTTGTCTGATGTCGTCCTTGGGCCTTCCAATGTCTGGGCAACAACTTCGGCATAGTCTTCCGTGATCACAACAAGTCCGCCAGTATCAGTGCAGTTGATGCTTTGTCCAACAAGCCGCCTCGTATCAAAATGACACTTCTCGGGAGCCGAGATGAGGCCATCTTCTGCGCTGTCCTGAGGATCACACTCTGCAATAATCGCCTTTTGGTATTCCAAGAATACACACTGCGGTGGCGCGGTAAGATTACCCATGACCACCGAAGGCCAGAAGGATCCAGGACATAACTGGTGCAAGTTGATGGCTGGGGCATTGGCCAGGATGCCATCAAAGTCATGCGGATTGTACTGGGCAGCGAAGTAACCCTGTCTTCCGCCTTGCGAGCAGCCACTGTAGTAAGAGTGGTGAGCTTTAGTGCCGTAGAATGCTTTGACCGCTGCTTTGCCGATAAGCGCCATCTCATGAATAGATCGGGTAGCAAAATTGTCGATCAAGGGCTCGTTGATGCTGCCGTTGGCTCTGAGAGCCCACTTGCCAGAGTTCGCATCGATGGTGTGGTTCAACGTCAGCCCGGCATCGGTGGAGCCAGCAGCAAATCCCTTGGATACAGGGCCAGCGAGAGACGCGGCAAATGTACCTGCAGCGAGACCGCCACCACCATTGGCGACGAAGCGACCGTTCCAGGCGTCTCCAAGGGGCAGCCAGATGCTCACAAAGACGACATCGTCTGCACCTTGGTGGTTGAGTGTCAAGGTGAAGTTGCAAAAGTTGATATCTGAAGCTGGTTGTGTTGGTAATGGGTAACCGTGGACCTCGTTGGTTTCGACCAGTGTGACATCAAAACCATCGATAGGCGGTATCTCGAGATTGTTGCAGGCAAGTGGCTGGGGATTGCTACAACCTTTGGGGGGCGACCCAAGCACCGTTTGGCCTAAGACTGTTAGAAAAAAACCCAGTAATACGACGGAAATCAGCCAAAAGACCTGAAGGCAATTGCTACCAAGACGAGCTCTTATTCAAGCAACTGTCAAGACACTCCGCCAAACCAGATGCACGCGAATGGAAGCGCGAGTGAATTGCCTCATGGAGCCAGGCAGCATTGCGGGGGGGCCTTACCATCTATGCCAAGTGAACTCCTCAATTCTCCATTCGAGGTGGAATCTCCAATATCTCCCATGCACTTTTCGAAAGTGTTGGGGTGGTACGCAGTTGCGAGAGCAAAAGGTAGTATTGCAGCGCTCCATCCTAGCCACATCAGCAGACCAGCCCAAGGGCTAGAAGTGTGCAACAAAGCCATCGTCAATCGTGAGCCAGGATTCCGGGTCTCTTCTCCCGAGTAAAAGGTTAACCAACTCTTGGCTGGCGTTGAGCTAGTGGTTGCTAAGGTGTGTTGATGAGGGGAGGTTGAGCTACTGACAAATGGTCCGAGAGTCTGCGACTCTGACTCTAGCGCCCTGACTCGGTGGCGTCATTCCCACTCCACTCTCATGATTATTGTCCGACGAATCATCTGGCTGCTTGTGGGACTTTGCATCAGAGACTGCTTTTTCCTGCACAACCCCGGATTACCCCGCACCCAACCTATCTCCCGGATCAGCTAGGTATTGAGCGGAATAGAGGCTTGCTTGGAGGCTTGCTTGGAGGCTTGCTTGAGTCTGAATTAGACCAATTGGTGGTTGATGGAAGCAGGTCACCATCATATTCTGGTGGATATGTCTTTCTTGGCGATGACTCTTGTTGGCGACCCTTGTGAGTACTTAAGGGAATGGTCAGTATGCCTTGTAAAATGGATTTTGGATTTGACCTGTGGAAGAAATTCACTGTGTTGTTCCATCTACTTGCAACGGCAAAGCAACACAAAAACGGATGAGCTGAGATGGAGCAAACAAGAGCATCCAGAGACCTTCGACAAGGAGATGAAGAGTTTGGTACTCGTGCCATTGACGAGAAGACTCATGATTCGACTCACGTAGAGGACGTCAAGGGGAGAGATATCGGAGAGATCTGCGGGCTGACCGAAGCCGAGCAGAAGAAAGTCATGTCTGTCAACTCGTCACCTCTATCACTTAGAATAGACAATTCTAACAGTGTCGCCAGACGCCGCATCGACATTCGTCTGCTTCCGATTCTAGGCATCATGTACTCCATCTCCCTCATAGACCGAACAAACCTTGGGCTTGCCTTGGTCGCTGGCATGCAAGAAGATCTGGGACTCGCCGTGGGAAACAGGTACACCGTCATTGTGATGGTGTTTTTTGTTGCATACATGTTCGTTTCCACGATGTGATCCAATCGTGAACATCACTGGCTAACAATTTCTCAAGTCTCTTCGAGATACCAAGCGTATGGCCTCGCGTTCTCGTTCGAAACTCATCACGATTTGAGCTAATCTTTGTTGCAGAATCTCGTGCTTCCGAAGGCTGGACCCGCCAATTGGCTTTCGTTCCTCGGTGTAGGCTTTGGAGTGGTGCTCATCGGTATGGGCTTCACCAAGAGCTGGGGCGCGATGGCAGTGTGTCGAGCTCTGCTGGGAATACTAGAAGCAGGTTTCCTGCCAGGTATGGTCACATTCTACAAAATCTCGGCGCTTCTGATGGGCTATGGGAACCGAATCTGACGTTCAAAATTGACAGGATGCACCTATCTGATTACCTGTTGGTACACCCGATTCGAAGTAGGCAAGAGGCTGTCCGGCTTTTGGATCCTTTCCGTCCTCGCCAGCGGCTTCTCTGCAATCTTTGCATATGTTCTCACCCTTCTCCGCGGGAAGAGTGGATTGAACGGCTGGAGCTGTAAGTTGGGGGGCAAGCCTGTCCGAAAACCTGAGAACTTGTCACTCATCAGACGTGACAGGGATATTCATCATCGAGGGCGCAATCACCGTGCTGGTTTGTGCTCTAGGTCGGTTCATCATCATTGACTTCCCAACCCAAGCCGGCAAGTTCCTGAAACCAACGGAGCAAGAGTTCATTATTGCCCGCATCAACCAGGATCGCGGCGATGCCGAGGAGGATGGCATCAATCTGGCCAGGATTCTGCACCACCTCATGGACTGGAGGCTGTACTTTTGGGCGTTCAATCTCATGGCCTCGACCCTCCCAGGATACGCTTACTCCTACTTCCTCCCCATCATCCTTCGCAACGGTATGGGCTTCAGCAGTACAGAGGCGCAACTGCTTTCTGCGCCTCCGTATGTTCTTGCAGCTATTGTGGCCTACACCTCTGGCTACCTCGGTGACAAGTACAAGATTCGAGGTCCCATCATCGCAGTACATCAAGCCTTGACTGCAGTCGGTATGCTGATTACCGTGTACGGCAAGGCTAACGGTGCTCGCTACTTTGGAGCATTTCTTGGTGAGATTTTCTGTCCGAGGCAGAGGCTATAGTGAGCCATTGCTGATTCCAACAATCTCCAGGTATCGGATTTCTCCAGTTTTGCGTACCTGGCGTGCTCACCTTCCAAGCGAACAACATCACCTCGCACTCAAAGAGGGCCGTCTCTAGTGCAACATGCCTCATTGGAGGCGGCCTCGGCGGCATAATTGCAAGCACAGCTTTCATGTCGAAAGAGAGTCCCCACTACACTGTAAGGCCTTGCCAAAACTTGAACAATGAAACCCATCGCCTGACCATGCTCATCTAGACCGGCATCTGGACGACATTTGCCATCTCTATGGCTAGTATCACGATGATTATCATTATGGATATCTACTTGTGGCGCTGCAACAAAGCAGCAAAAGCGGGGCGTCGTAGAAACGAGGGCATGGAAGGCTGGTTGTATACACTGTGACACGATGGATATCGAGGTATATCCTCAGTTGCAACCTCTCATGAACTTGCCTCGGTTGTGCCACAGTCTCGAGCTACGTATAACCTTTGACCGATTTACAAAGTAATGGTACTGCTCTCGATTCTTGTGAATGTCTGAACAAACTCTTTTCTCGGTCAGGACCACTCTTAGATATCAAGGATTCTCTTTGTCGTTCTGATAGACTGATACAGCATTGCGACGCCGGGTTCTTTGTTATCCTTGCTGATAGCAGTATGATTGGCTTTTGCTGCCTTGCAGAGACAACTCGTCTGTTCAGTGTTGTGTTACGAATGCCAGTGGTGAACCCGAATGAGAAATTCAACTCCCCTTGTGTTCATACAATTATATACATGCGTAGCTTCTCGTGCCCTCCTCGAGTCTTAGTCTCAACAGCTCTCCAAACACCACTCCACCAGCAATGCGCCTACCTTATTCCCAGGACAAACTCCAGAATCCAATCCAATTACAAGTTTACAGCTCCAATCAGTCGAGATGTGCTGGCAAATCGAAGTCATGATCTCTTGCTGCAGCGAAAACTGCCTCTCTGCGCAGGATGGAAACCGTCTGTCAATTCTTCGCCTCGTGCCCAAGCCAATTCCTCTATATTACCTCTGCGAAAAGGCATTGAGAATGGGATACCGCAATAACATCAATCTTATTGGACTTCCTCTCATAACCATCTACCCAGACGACTGCCCCGACGTAGCAAACAATGGCAAAGCTCACGTGAGCCTCTCCAGCTCCACCTCGCGAAAGGCTATGGGATACGCTGGCCGCCGTATCTATTGCAGCCTCTGTTCCAACTCTGGCCGTCCCCAACATGTCATGCTGAGTGACGGTAGCATCCCTCGGGCTTATGCATGTGCAAAAGATCATCCCGTTGAGGAGGCAGAATTTAGAGTGGAGTGGACCTGCTGTGCCATGGGTGAGTGCAGTGACGACAACTTGTGTGTATACCGAGCGGCTGCCATTCTGCACGATATGCCAACGCGGACTCAGGAGGCTGAGAACGTTATTGCCGACGGCCAAGAAACGGATACCGACTATGATGCGGATATCAGCGGAAACTCTGGTTAGTGATAATTCATGTGGATGTGCTCGATGCGCTTGCTGATATCACTAGCACTCTCCGTGGTTATCGATTATGGAATGGCATGTTCTTAGTATGACTCTGAAGTTGGGGGATTTGCTGTTTAGTCGCGATAGTACATGGTTCAGTAATTTATAAATGTTTTTTTCATGTCCTCGACTTCAAAGCATTTCTCTTGACGTGCCTCGGAGTGCCGAGGCGGTTGCGCAAATTGCACACGTGCTCTACATAGTAGAGTTTGTCTGACCATGTCACAAGATTGTTGGTGTTATATAAAGTTCAATGCTGTAATGACTAAAGATGATGATCTACTGGGTACTGACACCTTTTCTCTCTTCTTTTGTCGCATCAATAGAATGGGATGATAGTGGCTGATTATAAAGATAAGGAAAACTAACAGGACAGAGATAACTGGGACAATCTTCCCCTCTCGCAAGCCACTAGCGGAAAACTAAAGAGTCGTGTCTCCTGTCTTTGAATAATAGTACTCGAAGTTTCCGGTCAATTTAATCCACTAACCAAACCCGAAGCTGGCACGGACATGGCGCGCGACGCGTATCTGATGTGGGCGAACTGACGTTGTAACCAGTGGACGCGCCGAGACTGCCGATGGTAGTGGTGCAAGAGTCTTAGCGACGTCAGAGCACATGGCGGTGGGTGTTGCCCACTTGTCATGGGGGGATTTGCAGCAGCGGTGGGATAGCTAAGCTTTCAAGTTGGTTGGAGAAGCGACGTCAATTCATGAAGTCATCGGTGCTGGTCTCCATACATACATGTACCTGGTCTACCACGTCTTGTTAAGGTATCGGCGTCACGCGGGGGCCGAGTGCACTGCAAGCATGCTTGCTCTCCGTTTCCATATCTCTCTCGGGTTATCTTTTGGGCTCATGGTTCTGCCTATCAATGATGGTTCCCGGCATGATATTAAATAGTAAATAAAATCGCGTTGGGCATTGGAGACGAGAAAGTTTGGCAAATAAAAGGGGGATGGCTCAAGTAACCAGGACCATCCTGTAGCAAAAACCCCCGACGCATTAGCATCTCATGTTAGGTGGTTCATGCGCTGCCATCTGACAAGTTGACGCGCAGAGAAACGGCGTTCGTGCTGGCGCAAGGGAGCGGGCCGAAGTAATCATGCACAAAGGCACCAGGGGCAAGGCAAACGGCAAGCTTTTTTTCTTCTCTTTTTTTAATAATTGTAGAAAGGCACTACTGGAACCAGCGGTAATAAAGTGAGACCAAGGTACGAGGGGGATTTCCTTTCCCACGTTTCCTCCGCCCGCTTTCTCATATCCGAATGTTCCCATTGTTTGCGCCCGGCTAACCCGGCCACGCCGTCGTCTCGCCCCGAAAGGCAGATGACGAGGATTTGCAGCCCTCCCGTGCCACATAGGCACCTTAGCAGTAGCTAGCTAGACCATCTTGGCAAACTGCCGACAGCCCACCACGCGGCCGGTAGCAGCCATTGACACCGTAGCAAAGGTCCTGCAGGTGAGATTGCCACCAGGGGGGGGTGGGGGGCAGGCCGTTTGAAAACGCCGTCCAACGGCTTCAACACCTCTCCATCACGTTGGCTGCCTTGAGAGTTCCCTCGTGACATGACGACCATGGCCAGTGATGTGCTGTGCAGAGTGCCAAAGGCAGATCCTGCTTCAACAGACGGCCCAGGCCCTGAACCACGCGGCATGGTGTCCACTGCCGGTGGAGTCGAGAAACGGGACCCTTCGGTCACTTTGCTCTCAATGCGACCAGCTCGCTGCTTAGCGAAGATGGTGCCTGGCATTGACCCTCTAAATTTGAGTTGGTCGTGGTGGATCGCGGCTAGCTGTGCCCGAGGGATGCGTTCACTGCCTTGGTCGGTCCGCGGGTGAGCTGATCACATCAGGCTTGACGACTACCTTGATGTGGTCTATGAGGGACTATTTGAAGTGCCCGATACCCACACCCCGTTGCCTAGCCTCTTGAGAGGGCTTTCGGGATGGTGTCGTCTCGTTTCCCCAGCTCTCGGCCCTCAAGATGAGGTTTTCTATCGCCAGCATCACCGCCCTAATTACCCCGCTGGCGCTCGCCGCCGCAGATGTTCTTGAGTATAATGCAACGCCAGCGGGACAAGTCATCAAGGATGGTGTCAAACTCCGAATACTTCCGGTGGGCGATTCTATCACTGTGGGATATCTGAGCAGCGATGGGAATGGCTACAGGCTTAAACTTGACGAGGGTCTGTCCGGTATGTTCATTCACCGCAAATGAGAAGTTCAACCATGCACTCTACCACACGCAGGAGCATGAAGAATAATGAGACCCATGTCTGACAACCCTGGCAGCCAACGACGTAGTTTTCGCCGGTACTGTATACTCCGGAAACATGACCGACGGATACTATGTGAGTCAAGAAGACGAATCTTGATCGACTTCCAACGTCTCTGATTCTGACAAATGACTCAGGCTGCTTGGTCTGGAAAAACGATCCAGTACATCGCCGATAACGTAGGCCCATCCCTGGTGCAAAGACCCAACATCATCCTCCTCCACGCCGGCACCAACGACATGAACCCGAACCCGGCCATCTCCACCGAAGGCAATGACCCAGCCGCCGCCGCCAAGCGCCTCGGCTCCCTCATCGACCAAATGATCACCGCCTGCCCCGACGCCACCATCCTCGTCGCCCAAATCATCAACACGTGCAACGCCGTCCAGGAGCTCGCCACGGTAGCGTACCAGAAGCTCATCCCCGGCATCGTCGAGCAGCGCAGAAACGCGAGCCACCATGTGCTGGCGGTAGACTTTGCGGCTTTGGGCACTGGCATTCTGAGAGACGATTGCATTCACCCTTCGGATGAGGGGTACCGCACCATGGGTGACTACTGGTACGACTTCATCGCGCAGATTCCAAAGGACTGGATTTCTCAGCCCGTGGGCGATGACCCGGATCGGTCAAAGGACGAGGCTGGGCGGGCGAGTAAGAATGTGTCGGGCAGCAGCGCCGCCAGCGTGTTGTCTGGTAGTTGGATAATGCTCCTAATGATTCCATTAATTTTGACTGTAAGTTTAATGTATCAATGAGTTTACGTAATACACAAGAGCCACGAGCAATCTTTGTTGAGCCTGTTGCATGCAAGTCTTGAAGAAGCAGTCTGAACCTTTGGCGGTGATGGCAATAATAGAAATCATACGGGCAATTCAACCTTCCCGCTCTTATTTCAGACATGACTTGTCTGATAATCGTGTCGTATGTCCTCAGAGAAGGTTTTGGCTGATACTTAGGCACATGTATGGAGAATTTAGTCCAAGAGTAAGACAAGTGCAATACGGAGCCATCCCGAGGAATCGTACGGCAAGTTCTATTGGCCAGTATCGTCTAATTATCATGACAGCCGAATCAAGAACATGGGTTAAGCGGACTGTTCCGTTAAACCGTAAAATGTAAAGGTCTTTGAGCCAGAAGTTGGTCCTTCCCTATCCTTCTCTTATGCGCTGTGCTTGACTCCTAACCCTATAACCTGCCGCCTCCATCCTCCTAGGACTACATCGCTTCCTGGAAGAACTCTTGATTCAAGGGAACTTTCTATATCGCGTTCCCTTAGTAAGTACATGTAAGATGGCCAAATTCCGTCTTATACCCCTTGCTTTTGAGATCACTGCCGGCTTACTCGATCATCCGGCTCTCATCTTGACTTTCCCCGTCCCCGCAACCGCATTTACGTTTGATTAACTTCAGATGGATGTGTCAACGATTGGTTGGCGAATTTGTCCAGCCCGGCGTAGACCGTCATGATGAAGCTGACCCCGCGGTTCGACGTCTATAGAAGTAAGTCTTTATGTCCGGTCATCCTTGCGGGCTTGCCTGGGAGTGGTCGAAAGACCGTGATCCATGCGGGGTTGCTCACCGTGCCCTCGCTGATGGTGTCGTGCATGCTTTGCGAAAGGAACCATAGACCCCTCACTTGGACACCTTTATGACGCCCAGTGCCCTCGTTCCCTATCTTACACTGAAAGGCATAAAACGGGGCGGTCCTCTACATCCCGCATCAATGTCAAGTTTTTTCCCCTGAAAAAAATCGGAACGCAACCTACATTCACACAGATTTTACATCATTCTTACTAGACACTGCAAGATGTCAAACAGAAAAGACCATGGCTTGAAGGAACACGGCCTATCGGACGATGCCGTGGAGGCCGGCCACGACTTTATCCACGACGCAGAAGTAGAGGAGGAGAGAGTAGGTCTCCCGTTTGGGAACGGCGGGAATGCTCTTTGGCTGAAAGTTCTTTAGAGGCACAGCGGAGATCCAAACACGATGCCATCGATGGCGTCGCAGCAGAAGAAAAATGTGAACCTGGAGGGGATGCAGCCTATTCACCCTATAGGGCAAGACAATGCGGGCCAAAAGGCGTGATTGTGATTGCTTTGCGGCTGATTTATGTTCTCTGAGGCTAGGATTGACGCGAAAGGCGTTTGCGTACAACCAAATTGCAGTCGGGGACTTTGTATGTGACTTGTGTATATCAGAGAGTTTGCCTCGGAGCAAAACGAAAAGTTACAGATTTGGCTCTTTCCTAGAGCAACCCTTGCTGAAACCAAGTGTTGCTATTTGTCTGCATAGTCCACCCGCACAAGTGAGCAAAGTATATGCGTTGAAGGAATCCGACAAGACGAGACTTGTGGCTTTTCGATATCAGTCTGGTCTGGTTCCTTCGTGTCTCATTGCAGTGGGACACGCGATGAATAAAGGAGCCTCTTGGCGCCATATCACTTTTAATTAGGGGAGTGCTGGGTGGAGATAGAAGCCAACATGAATTGATTTCTTAACTACCTAGGTACATATCGGCGCCGTTTCGCCGTGGCGCAGGCCGATTTCGGACGTTCATCAGCGCATCAATCACCCGCCGAGCCCACCGGCCCGGACCGGAGCTGTCAGCTGCAACAACTCCAGGTCTCCAACGAGCCCGGCGGCGTCAACCTCATCCTCAACCGGCAGCCATCAACCTCGCGTGGTCCGCCACGACATAATGGCGACTCCTCCGCCTCACTTTGTCGTTCTCGGCGCCGGTGTCATCGGCCTCACCACTGCACTGACCCTCACGGCCGAATTCCCCTTGGCAAAGATCACCATTCTGGCAGAGTACTTCCCCGGCGACTACAACATTGACTACTGTTCGCCGTGGGCCGGGGGGAATTGGTGCTCCTCGGCCAACGATAACGGCCTCCTCGAGTCCTTTGACCGCGTCGCGTTTGAGCGTTTCAAAAAGATTGCAAAGAATGCCCCAGAAGCGGGGGTCAAGAGCTCGCCGTTGCGGATGATTTTCGATCAAAAGATTGAGGACGCAGGGATTCTAAGCGTAGGGACTGGCAAGCTGTGGTATGATGATCTGGTGGGAGGTACCGTCCCACTGCACGCAGACGAGCTGCCCGCCAAGGCAGTTTTTGGACTGGACGTGCCCAGCACTTTTGTGATCAATACTCAGATCTACTTGCAGTGGTGAGTTTCCCATCCATCTTTCATGGTCAGCTCAAAGTCTGACTAAACCAGGCTATTAGAGCAGTGCAGACAGAGTAAAGTCGTTCTCGTCCGTCAGAAAATTGGTCACATCAAGGAGGCTCGCATCTCTCCAAATGTAACTGCTCTCTTCAATTGCACCGGCTTAGGATCTTACTTCCTCGGCGGGGTAGAAGACAAGTCCATGTATCCAACCCGTGGACAGACTATCCTAGTTGAGCAGCCGATCCAACCCCTCGAGAGAATGTACTTTCGTTCTCCTCGGAGAGTAGACAACGACACTACCTACATCTTCCAGCGGCCTCTGGCGGGAGGTATAGTCCTCGGCGGGTGTCGTCAAGACGGAAATTGGGACAAGGAGGTCGACCCCGAGTTGACAAAGACCATCCTCCAGCGTTGTTGCGCGTTGGCGCCCGAGCTCGGCCGGCCCGAAGACTTGAAGATTATCAAGCATGGCGTCGGACTGAGGCCGAATCGCAGGGGTGGGCCGAGAATCGAGGCTGAGAAGACAGATGAGGGGCTCATTGTGCACAACTACGGGGCATCCGGAGCAGGCTATCAGGCATCTTGGTGAGTTCCCATACCAGATACGGCGTGCGGTGACGTTTCTTTTCTAATCAATACTCTAGGGGAATGGCAGCACATGCGGTGAAACTCGCGAAATCGCAATTAGCGAGTGGACCACCTTTATCTAAGCTTTAGCTCAAACATCCATGGTCTATTATTTAGTGACTGCTTCATGGTACTACCAAAGCGTCAATTCCATGTCTTTTGATCCCATCATCGTTCACGAAATTAGACACTAATCAATACTGCTACATCCAAGTGGAAGCCTTGGAGTTCATACACTCGGCCACTTGTAGTTCAACCACTTCTCGAGTGTGCCATTCCAACCACCACTGCCAAGCTGAACATGAACCCAAGCATCGACGAAATGCTTCCACACAATATCTCTAGGGACCGCATACGCCAACTCTTCAAAGTTGAACGGCTCATCCGGGTTGGCAATGCACAGCTCGCCCTCGTGTAGCTTGACTTGCAACTCGACCTCGATGAGATCAGAAATCATGGCATCGGCCGAGCCATCCAAAACCGCCTGGTACACGGCATTATTATCCTCCACCATGACAATCGTCGCAGACTTGAGGTTCGCCCTGTCAAACGCCTCGTTGGTCCCACCGGGGTTGACGGCGACTTTGACGCCGGCCTGGTCGAGCGACGCGAGGTCGGTATACTTGTCCGCGTCGGCGCAGCGGATGCACGCCGTTTTGCCGACCCTCTGGATGGCGGTGGAGAAGAAGGCGGTCTTGGCTCGCGCGAGGGTCAGACTGACGCCGCCCATGGCGATGTCGAATTTGCCGGCCGACAGGTCGCTCGTGATGTTTGCCCACTTTGTCGCGACCAGGCGGGGAGGTTTGGGGAGGCCGAGGGCGTTGGACAGCGACTGCGCGGCGTCGATGTCGGCGCCAATGTAGGTCGTATTGATCGCCGTTGTGTTTGGCAGAGTGGTCTGGTTTGTCACGAGGTACGTGAACGGTTTATAGTCTCCTGTTGTGCCGACGTTCATGTACCCGCGAGCAATGATGGTGTCGAGGAGAGACGTGACGTTGGCGTACGAGAGTAGTTGTGTTGTATCGCCGTGTTGTTGGGCTCCAGCGTACGTGCTCAGCGCGGAGGCGCCCAGAAGCGCAGACGTCCAGATGTTCACCATTGCGTCTGAAAATCAGACAGATAGAAAGATTCGATGCCCGGGCGTGACTCAACATGAGACGCAGCAGCGAGTAACCACAAGTTTTAAGGTCCTCGTCCAGGGCCGATCCCGGGGCCCCGCAAACTCATTTCGGAAGAGATTCTTATCATCGGCTTTGAACGTTAATTACGATAGTGATAGCGTGTGGTTTGTTATTGGTCAATTGAACCTGTCAACTTGTGCCAAGTCCCAGCTAGTCGAGTCGCTTGCGCAATTTGATTGTGCTTAAGCAAGGTAAAGACTCATGTAATGCTCTGTCCGGTTATTTAAATTCCCTAGGGAGAAAGCAGCTTCTGAGGCTAGGCGGAGTTGACGTCGTGATCCTGGGATTGGTCTTGGTTGCATCGACACATCGGCCTGCAGAGGATCCACCTCTCAACAAGGGCGCTCCTCGTTGTCGGGGTTCCCAAATGTCACAAGTAGACTCATGCAACCGCCTCCTGACATATTATCTAAAGCCCGACTGCACATGCTCAACATCCCGTGAGAACTCTGAGAAATGCACCTTCAAAAAATTTCTGAGAATACACGTACTCAGGAATGACGACAATTCAGCCTCAAGAGTTTCAACTCTTCCCCCAGCTCCCCCTAGAGCTCCGCCGAGCCATCTGGGATGAATGCCTACCTCGCGTCCGCGTTGTCGAGATGAACAAACCTCACAAGGGAGGGTACATACACCATGGCTCTATAAGTCAAAGCGACGAAAGTGAGGAGTGCACTCATCGGATGACCTACAACTTTAATTCTCTCCCTCCTGTCATTGCGGCAGTCTGTCGGGAGTCCAGACAGCTAGCCGGGCACCCTGTGAAACGACATGGAGAACGTCAGGCAACGGACAGCATTATTGACAGCGGGAAACCAAGGGACTTGTGGTTTGATCAAGCTTCGAGCAGGAACGTTATCTTCCTCGACTGGGACTCAAGTTGCGGCCACTATTGGTCTGCTCGTTCTCCTTCGGGTCCTTTTAAATATCTGTCGCCCGTTGCGACACATGCTCAAACGGTATGTGTCACGGGAGAGGTACTGCGCACACTATTCCCCCCGTTGAGCGATGGAAAAAGCTTTCGTACTCTCTGGAATATCAAGTCATTCTTGGTCTGCCAAAAGATAGTCGCTGTGCACGCCGGGGTCGACGCAGCGAGGCAATCTGGTCTTTGGGGTTTCAATGGCGAAGAACGTATTGGTAAGACCATTCCCTCTTCCAGGTTTCACTAAAGCTAATTTGGATGTAGCCTTAGTTCCAGTAGAGGACCATGAACGGGTAGGGAAGTACGCAAACTTTAACAGAATCTATGGCTCCACAGAGGATATCCAGACCAAAGGCTTCTTCCAGGGACTTGATCAGGGTTCGGCTCAGTGGCCAATGCAGCAAGAGCTACTTAGGGTTTGGAAGGCGAGGTTTTTGCTGGGACGGTGGCATGATCAGCAAGCGGAATTCGGCCTCCAGAAGGAAGAAGATTGGAACGTGACACCTGTTCCTGGTCTATTTGGAGCCATCGATAGTGGGCTGGAAAACTGGAAGCTGAAAGAAGACAGCAAATGGGCCAAGGCGTCGCTACCAATGGTGCCAAGAGTTCAATGGGTGTACATGTTTCGCCTGTGCCTGGATGTGTGCCACATCAAAAGTAGATAGAATATGGTTTTTTATTTTCGACTGATTTCATTAAGTGATCAAACTCTGGTAACCCTTAAAGGACCCTGATTGTGGCAACTTGATCTCCTTGGCAGAGGTGGCAGGATCCGATGACAACAAGAGGGCGTGGAAGCGCATTTAGGAAGACCAGCTTTCTTTTTTGGACGGAGAATGTAAATTGAGTCTCTGACTATTCGCATCAGACCCTCATTCTCTTGTAAAAGTATGCTGGCATCGACGAACTTGAAGCAATATTCCTCATGTTGAGAAGGTCTTGGAACGGAGCTTCGGGATCAAGCCAAGGCCCAAAACACACTACCGGCAGAACCACTGATTGCTTTTTGGGTTCCCCAAAACCTTTCGTTGTTTCGCACGAAATCAGCACAAGCACCTTTGAAGGCCAATTGTGGGTCTCACTGCAGCCGTAGATAGTCTCAAGTCACCACCCCGATGCTCCTGGGGCTTATAGCACTTGATGTTGCTTGAAACGTTTTCTTGGTGTACAGAAGCTTTGTCAAAACCCCCATGAACATCAAATAGTATCATTCCAGTACATAGGTCCGGTCAAGCCAGTCTGACTAGTGCTGCAAGCGTTCGTTCCAGATGGCCTCGGTTGGAACCAACAGAGCCTGGCCCCCCTGTCTTCTCATGTCACACTTTCTGTGTCTGGCCCTCTGTTGGTTTCTCAGTGAGCGTAGAAGCCAGCCTTTACCTTCCACAAATCGCTTAAATCCTGCATTTCGGGTGACTGCGAGAATGAATCCCATTCGCTCGCATATGCGGAGGCTGCCGCCGGAAATGTCATCGAGTGGATAGCCTTGACGCAAGAATTGATAGAGCAAAACAGCTCACTTAAAGTGAGGGGCAACTCCTCCCAGATCGTTGTCGCTTTACTTTCTGCCTCTCGTCACACACCATCCAGATCATCTGCTCGACAATCTATCCACAAACCTTCACATACGGAACCCAAGCGAAATGCAGGCCCCAAACCCTGCGACCGTGACGAATGCCACTCCTGCGAATGAGAACGCAGCAGTTGCAGGCGCGGACAGCCATGTGAGTTATGTCCCTGCATGCAATACTGAAAATACTGGGGGAAGATGGAAGTTTACCGTTCGTAGGACGGCAAGAAAGAAGGCCAACAGCATGCTGACATGAGTGCAGGACGAGGGTATTGCAGTTGATGAGGACCAAAACTCACTGGCAGATACAGAAAGGTAGTTTCTACTCTGGCGTTTCAAGCATTGATCTGAGGCTGAAGACTAACTGCATGAAAACCGGGATTTGCAGTGTCCGGACTACTTCCACAGCATCTATAAGCGAAAGCATCACAGAGTACCGTCGCATCCACGGCCGAACTTTCTCCCAGAAGACGGATTATTGGGGTCCCAATGACGAGAAGCAGAATGAAGCGCTGGAAATTGCGTGAGTATAGACAGTGTCCGCCAACTGCGCAGCCGGCGCCGTTGGATCCCTTTGAGACTGGCTCAGCTAACACCAGTGTCTTGCCTACCTTAAGACATTACTGGGAGATTTTGTTCTTTGATGACAAACTGTTCCTAGCACCTCTTGCCCAAGACCCGCAAGTGAGTTCTTTCATCGAGTTTGCACCAGCATTTCTCTGGTTTCTGATATGCGGCATAGAACGTCCTTGATGTCGGAACCGGCACGGGTATCTGGGCCATGTAAGCCTCCAATTTGGATCCCAAGATGTTGCCAGACCTTTCTAATGGCCTCCACCTAGCGATTTCGCCGACGAGTTCCCATCTGCGCAAGTCACTGGTGTCGACATCTCACCCATTCAGCCCGGCTGGGTTCCTCCAAACTGCAAGTTCCAGGTCGACGACATTGAGCAGCCGTGGACATGGTCGAAAGACTTTGACTTCATTCACATTCGCCATCTTGAGGCCAGCATTGCGGATTGGCCAGCCTTGTACAAGCAAGCATTCGACCATCTGACCCCTGGAGGCTATGTCGAGATCAAGGAGTTTGACATCACTACGCGATCACAATTCTACGGTGACGATATTCCCAAAGATCATATTTTCCATCGATGGGCAAAGATCTTTTTCGAAGCCACTGATAAGCTCGGCAAGACGCTGACCCAGACCCACAATCACGGTATTGCCAGAGCTCTCGAAGCAGTCGGCTATGTCGACATCGTGGAGAAGAGATACTCCATCCCCATTGGTTCTTGGCCCAAAGATCCAAAGATGAAGGAGGTCGGGGAGTGCAATTGGCTATACAATGATCAGTCTCTTGAGGGATTCGCCCTCTTCTTACTCAAGGAAATTATGGGATGGGAGTATGCCGAAATCATCGTCTTTGTTGCTGAGATGCGTCAGGCTCTCAAAGACCCCAAGCTCCAGGCATTTTTCCACCTGTAAGTCATTACCATGATAAAGTACTTATCTCTCAAGCTAACCTCAAGTCTTAGCCATCTTGTTTATGCCCGGAAACCTGAGACGGAGGGAGAACCTCAGGTCGAAAGCTGAAGACCGAAAAGGATGGATAAGCACAGTCTTGATTCATTAGGAGAAAGAGAGACGCATGAATTGCGAAAGCAAAATCTCGACGACTGTGAATGTTGTCGATTCAACTGTTGTCTTGCATGAAGCGGTGGGACGGATTTTGATTCTGTTTAGGTAGCCATCCATCTATTAAATTATGTTGCGACATTCTATTGTCGCTAAGGAATAAACCAACTGAAACTCATCTTAAATCCATATCCCCTTGAAGAATTGTCATGTATAAATACTAATCGACCACCGACAGTTTAGTTGGTGGGGGAGTACACCCAAGTCCGCGGACTGCAGCGCTCCTTGAGCAACCGCTGTCCAAGGACCAGAAGCAGCTTCTTTATTTGGCTCGGGCGATAGTCCGGAAGCATTCGAGCAGGATTCTGATTCTTGATGAGGCCACCAGCGCTGTCGACCAGGACACGGAAGAAATCATGGCCAGGATAATCGAGTCCGACTTCCCTAAGCATATTGTGGTCTTCGTCGTTTACTGACCGCAAGCTCTTCGTAGCATTCAAAAGGTTGTGATTCTGCAAAAAAGGAAGGTTGCAAGCGTAAGCCGCCCGGAATTGTGAGAAGTTGGGGGCTGCTGCTTTGAGTAGTATCACGTCTGCTTGTCTGTGTCTCATTGCACACAATTCAAAGAATGCAGCAACTCATAACCCCTATCCATTTACTATGCATCCTAAATACTTGTATGGAGAACCCCAGCAGTTCCGCTGGCGGAACCGTATGGTCCGTATCATGCGCTTGATGTAAAGGGAAGGAGTGTCGCAGGCCGCATACATGAAATCAATCTCGGGATGCTTAGTTATGCAACTTGTCAAACAAACGAGTAAGAGCAACTTGTGCAACAAAGTCATTGCTCGTGTCCGAATCACAGTTGCCATCTACTTTCTACCTCCGTGGCCAGCTGCCTCCGCCGCCGCGACTTCCTGCTCCAGGGGCAAAATGTTTGGGAGGGGACCAATCGGCGTGACCCCGAACGGGTTGATTTGGGCGTGGCTTTTGGTGTAGTGATACTTGATGTGCAAGAAGTTGGTTGTATCCCTAAAGGCGGCGTTGTTCCAGTAGAGCCTGCGCAACCATCTGTGGATGAGTGGATACCCGGAGCGGATGTCGCGGATGTTGCATTTGAAGTGCTGGGCATAAGCGGGCTGCGAGGTTGTCAGTCTTGTCCTGTCAAAATCTCAGTCCGAAACCGCTTGCCAAGGGGGTAGGAATGTGTGGCAGGAGTTATCGGGCGGAATGAGACGAACATCAAACCGAATTATGGTGACATAACTGTGACAGACGTATTAGCATGCCTCACATGTTTGGAAGCTTGAGAACGTACAGCCTGACGTCCACCTCTGTGAGAATCTCGCCGAAGTAATACGGTCCCGACTTCACCGACGCCAGATGCGCCTCAACCTTATCCAAGGATTCGAAAAGGGTCGTCACGGCGTCGTTATAACCCTCTTGCGTCGTTGCAAAGCCGGACCTGTACACACCGCTGTTGATCGTGTCGAAGTGCCAGCCATGTGCCTCGTCGATCTGCGCTTGTAAATCGTCGGGATAGAGGGTGACTTTTCGATACTCCCCGTCGACAAGGTCGTCGAACTGTGAAAGTAAGTCGCCTCATGTCAGCCAATGTCTCTCATTTCGGGTACACCACCCGCCGCCACTGACCTCGGTTCCAAACATGCGCAGGATGTCGCTGCTCTCGTTGTTCACTATGGTCTTTGTCTTCTTGTCGAAGAGCACCGGCACCGTTATCCGGCCCGCATAGTTGGGGTCGCAGGCGAAGTAGAGCTCCTTCAGGTACTTGAAGGTCCCGTTCGGATCGGGTATGACGTTCTCGCCGTCGATTTCCGTGTCATCCGGAGTCGCAAAGCGCCATCCTAACTCATCATCAGCCCCGCAGTCATTACGCGCCATTTTCCCTTGTTTTAACGCCGAATAACATGCCATTTTCTCCCAGCAGCCAATGGACGGCCGAGAAGGAGACGATGTCCTCGAGGCCCTTAAGCTTGCGGGCGATCAAGGTGCGATGTGCCTTGCAGTTGTCCCCCGTCAGCAGAGCCTATCACAAGCTCGTGTTTTTCAGGCGCAGAGACATACCCATGGACACGCATAGCTGACGTATAGATGGTAGCGCCCGCTCTCGGCGGGGAACTCGGCGGCAGGATCGCGTGAGATGAATCTGCGAAATGGCTGGTTCTCCGCCTTGGGAGTGGCCCACTTGATGAATTTCACGCCGTTACTCTGATGCCACACGTCGATCAGCCCAGTCGATCACGACTCGCTGGAAGCCACGTGAGGTAACACTCGATCACCGCCCACCAGAAGCGCGACGCAGTGACTGACGTCAGAATAGGGGGGGCCGCTTGACTGACCATTATTATTGTTGCTTTATTTAACTAGGGCCGCTCGCCAATCGATGTGAACAAGTCTCAATGGTGATCGGTGGGTGCGGGCGGGGATTGTCGTCATTTAAACTCGGATAAAGCCTTGAAAGTTGTTCCGGAATCACCGGCGAATCGCGGACTGAAAATGGTCTGTCCGGCACGCCGCGAAGACCGGCGTCAGTGTCCGCTTACGTCAACTCACCGACCCCTCTCTGTTAGCGGCATGCTGGAGACCCGGCACCCAAGTAACCAATATATGTACTAAACCAATTTTTCAGTCCATACATGTAGTAAAACCGGGGTTTCGGCAAACAACCTTAACTTACAATACCGGCTCAAAAGCCTGGTTACACTATGAAGGGTCACCCCACCACAAACCCTCAAGATCCCATGATTTTAATTATGTATAGTATATTTAATTATCTTCTAAATTAAGAGTTCTCATATTAAATTCATTATTGAAAATAGCGCTTTAGCGTTTAAGGAATCATTCCTACCATAGTAGACCCGGCGGCGTAGTGTAAAGAAAGGGGTGGATAAAAGAGGGGGCTTAATGGTGTAACCAGACTTTTGAGCCGGTAGCGTATTGTATTCTGATTCATCACGTTTTGGACCCACTATTTAGCACCTAGGTATTAGTCATGAATCCTGAAACCAGACTGATTCGAACTAAAAAAGCCGATGCCAAGGTGGGGCAGACTTGAGGAGCTGTGGTTGGTCGGAGATCCTTGGCCATGTTGCCTGCGTTGACGAGCATGTTGACATGCTATTGCCGTCGCACTGAGTCAAGACATTCAAGTGACAGCTTGGTGGCATGCGACGCATTCCCCCTGCTTGTGGTTTGCCAAGGTTGCTGACGGTACTGTTTGTAAGGGCATCACATCTTGGTCAAAACGGCGGTCAAGGAGGAGACCTTGATCAGATAACCGACGCAGCGCAGATTGAGCTGCCCTTTACAGCCCTGCCAAGGCCTCGAGGGCGAGATCTGGTAAAGTGACCAGTCAATGTCATCTTAGGCATTTAATCGCCCGGCATCTATCAACGGCCCACTTGCGGGATCTATCAAAGGTCCGCGGCGTCCATCAACGGCCCGCCACTAGTCCGCCTAGTGCAGAATCTCAGCCCTTGTAGCAGATCCCCACGGCGAACGTTGACTCACGGGGTTTTGATCCGCCTGATAGACTTAAGATGGCCTGCGGAAGGCTTCACCAAAGACGGGGCAATTAGCAAGGCCATGGGTGTGTCTCATCCGATTGGCCACAAAAGGCGGGAACACTGCCCGAGTACTACATAGTACAGTGATAATGCGACACTATGACTGCCAGTATAGCAACCCTCATAGGCTCATATGGATCAGCGGTCGATGCCAAAGACAAGGCGTTGCAACTTTTGAGGCAATATTCGAGCTCTTGTGGAGTTTCCACGGCGTCGGGCTTCGATAACGGCCCGCGGACAGAAATCACCGCCGTGGATGGTTGAAACAAGACAACTGCAGAGTATATATACATAGAGTTTCGAGCCGCGATATCGAACAACAATGGAGCATCAAAACTCTACAGTTCAACTCATCCCCAACCGAGTAAATCAAGAACCGAAAACTAACAATGCCTGAATCCGGCGTCATTGTAGACGGAGTCGTGCGGTACCCTCCTACGGGCATTAAAGTCGTCATCGTCGGCGCAGGCCTTGGTGGACTGCAGGCGGCAGTTGAATGTTGGAGAAAGGGCCACGATGTCCAAGTCCTCGAAAAAGGTCCAGCAATCTCCGAGGCCGGTATGAAACCAGACACCCCCTCACACTTCCGGTTAATTGGCTAAGTTATCGTCTAGGCGACGTCGTGAGGCTCGGTCCCAATAGCTACGCAACCTTGAAGGAGTATCCCACGATGCTGCAAGAGTGGGACAAGTTCGCGTACGACGCCAATATGAGCCTCCGTTACCCGGACGGTCGATTCGCCTTTCCGGTCGCGGAATTCGAGCATCACCTCCCAGGGGTCGCCACCCACGCCATCTGGCCCATCAGGGCCAAGCCGATGGTGAGCCGCAGGGACGTTGCCCTCATGTTCCTTGGACAGTGCCGTAGGCTCAGCATCCCGGTGACCTACAACGTCGACATAATCGACTACTCAGAAGACGGCAAAGGCACTGCCACGGCGCACGCTTCAGACGGCCGCAAGTTCACGGGCGACGTCGTCGTGGCAGCAGATGGAATTGCCAGTAAAGCCTACAACATCACGCTGGGTCACCCCGTTCGGGCTGTCAGCACGGGTTACTGTGCCGATCGAGTCATGTACTCGACCGAGCACGTCAAGGATGCTCCGGCTCTTCAGAAGGCACTGGACGAACTCGAAAGACCCCAGTTGCGCATGTACAGTGCGTAAGTACTGCCGTTTCACTATCCACACGTCAAATGCTTGTACTGATAAGGTTGAAGACCCGAATTATATATTGTCTTCCTCTTGGCAAAGGATCGCCTCTTTCTGGGTATTACGCACGAGGTACGTACGACGACGCCCTTCCATGAATAAACCGGCTGATCACAATGATGACAATTTTTTAGGACGACGGTACTGCGGTGGAATCCTGGTCATCCACCATTACAACGGAGCAAATCGCAGAAGCCATCCCTGACAGCGCAAACTGGGATCCCGAGGTCATGGAGGCAATCCGCTGCACGCCTCCCAACACAGTTGTGCGGTGGAAGCTTTGCTGCCGTAACCCTCAAGAGAAGTGGACGTCCGACGGTGGCCACATCATCCAGCTCGGTGATGCCGCCCACAGCTTCATCCCGTCTTCTGGCAGCGGCGCCTCCATGGCCCTCGAGGATGGCATATCTCTTCCCGAGTGTTTGAGACTCGGGGGCAAGGAACGCATAGCTCTGGCTACTCGGGCCCATCAACTTCTCAGGTGAGCATGACATCGGACGACAAGCCACCGTGCAAAGATAGTTCTGTTTTCTGATCAAATTGGCTTTAGGTGGGAGCGTACTTCGCTTCAGCAGCACAATGGTTTCGCGAACAGACGCCAGATCCATCGCGACATGGCCGAGATTGTCAAAGACAAACGACCACCCATGCTGATGGGTAAATGGGTCTGGACCCACAACGCCGAGAAATACGCGACCGAAAGGTTTGAAGAAGCCGTCATTGCTATTGAGACTGGCAAGCCCTTCAAGAATACCAACATTCCCCTTGGTCATAAGGTGCAGCCTTGGACTATCGAAGAAGAGTTCGAGAAGGAGAAATCCGGTGTGTTTGTGGAGGACCTGAGGGTTGAGGGCGACTGGGGTTTGGTTTAGAAAGAAGAGTTATAGACCATCGTCGTTGGTGAGTTCCTGATGACATGGATCCTGAGCCTTACAAGCAGATGCTCCTTGTCAGGAATCTCATGGCTGATTACACCAGGCTAGACTAGATTATAGAGGTTTCATAGAATTTATAAAGTGTCAGGAAGAAGATGTTACCAGACAGGCGCGTGCTAGACAGTGGTATGCCAGACAAGCGCGTGACCCGTTGCGGGGGAATTGAGAATCACATGCAAGACATAGCAGCTAGAGAGGATCTATAAGGACACCTATTTACTACCAGATCAGTATATGTTATTCCCTGCCCCGGAAGGGAGGGGTCTCCCGGGCTCAAAAGATGGAGGCTAGCTCGGCGAGCATTCAAGCTGCTGTTGCAGTGGAACAGTGCTATTCCTTGATGAAGACATTTAGATCTTGTCTTTAATTTCGTCAAGTTTCTGAAAGATTTACCGGGGTTTCTTATTTTGCTGAATTTATCTACAGGATCTGTCGCACTGATGATGGTTTCCGTTGGTGTTGGTTGTGGTCTTGATCCATTGACCTGGGTAATTTGAGTTGCGACTGAGCTCCTGTATCTTTGAGGCGCCAGAGCTCGCCGAATCGACAGGCATATGCGACGCGAGCCCTGTCGTCTAGACCGGTCTCTGGAAAGATCAGGACGCCGTTCTACATCAATCTCCTCAGCTTAGGCTTTGAGACACTCTCTACAGATGGGAATAAACCTTTGCCATAGCAGCTTGAATTTCTTGAAATGCCTTATCCAGTATCGGTTTCGTAAGGTCGACACTATAGACCTCCGTTATAAAGCTCGGATACAAAAGGTAAATAGGAAGTAACATTACGAATCCCGTAATAGTTAAAAAACCTAATCCGCATTAGATTCTTCCATAAAAATTATATATTTAGATTTCAATAATAAAATTTAAAAAGTTATTATTAAAACTATAATAACTAAAAAAGAATTAATTTAAAAATATATAAAATTAATATAAAAGTATATATTTTATAGCGGTATATGTATTTACTATCGTAATTAATTTAAAACTATAATATATTTTTATGAAAATAATTAAAGTAATTATAATAATATTTTGATAACTTAATAACTTTAAATCTATATTAAATAATTATTACGGCTAACTAGTCGTAATAAAGTTTATATTACTAAAAATCGAAGTTACGATATTTATAAAGGAATTAATATACCGGTATTATAAGTTAATATATTAGTATCGCTTTTATATTAACGTCGCTATTTAACTTTTTAATTAATTTAAAAAAAAAATACCTCTTTATAAAGGCGGTAAAAGTAACTATATTAATATAGCTATTTTTATTTTTTTTTAACTTAAGTTCTTATTTAAAATTTTTCAAAGTATATATTATAGCCTATTCTTATTATAGTTTTATAAATTTTAAATAATAACAATATAACTTTTAAAAAGGTTTACTATTAAATTACTTTTTATAATATATTTATAAAAATTTATTATTATTATAAATTATTTCTTATTAACTCCGTTTTTTTTAAATATTAAGTTATATTAACCGTTTATTTATATAATTTCTTATTATCTTCCTTTTATTAAAAACGCTAAATTAGTTTTTTATTTATTATTAAGATAAGTTTAATATTTAATTTTAACTAAGTTAACTTATTTTTTATATAAACTTAATGAATATTAATTTATTTTTATTTTTAAATAAGAGACTTTGTTATTTATTATTTACGTTTTAGTTATTATAAATAATATAAGCTTAATTAATTAATTAGCCTTTTTTAAATAAAGTTAATTATAATAAGATAAATTACGTTATATTTTTTAATTTATTATAGAGGGATATAATAATTTTAAAATCAAAAATCCGTTAATATAAATTTAAAAAGAAAACGTTTTTTAAAAACACTATTAAAAATATATTCTTTATTTATTAAAAATAGTTAAATTTATTATTTTAAAATAGATTTTAAAATAATATAAAATATTTAATTTAATTAAAATAGTATAATTTAAATTAAAGTTTTTAAAAAGAGTTAAAAATAATTTTTTATTAAACGGTATTATTTCTTTTATTAATTAATATTATTTTTTAATTAATATAAAATATTTTAAAAAAAGTATTATTAAAAGTTCGTTTAAATATTTAAAGCGAGTATTTATATACCCCCGGTTTATAAATATTTTATTTTTAATATAAGTTTATTTAAAACGTATTTCTTAATTATTAATTATATTTTATATAATATTAATAAATCGATATAAATAATTAAAACCATTTAAGAAATAATATTTAATATTATTATTACTCAATTTAATATTAAAAGTAATATAAATTTTAAAACTTTAATATTTTTAAATAAAATAATAGGTTTATTATGTTTTAAAAAATAAATGTATTATATAAAAATATTAAAAAATTAAGCGTTAATTATTAAACTTTTTATAAAGCTTAGTCTAAACCTTTTTAAAAACGTACTTAATTTTAATAAAAATAATAAGTTTTTATATTATAAAAACTTTATAATATATATAAAAGGGGGGCTTATTAATAAATATATTAATATAAAGCTTATTTTTATTATTCAATATAGTTATTATTTATATTAATAGCTAATATTTTTTATTATTAAATTTATTATTATTATTATTATAACTACGTTTTTAAATTTATTTTTATTTAGCTTTAAATATAATATTAAAATTTATATAATAAATATAGAGTTATTATTAAACGCTTAAAACTTATTAATGTAATATAGCTTTTATTTATTTATTATAATTAATAATAAGGAATTAATACACGGGTATAAATAATTAATACACGGGCATAACTCTTACACGGGCATAACAGCTACACACTATTATTAGCCTAAAGAAATATATAAACCACAAATACTTCGTCTTAAAAATAATAAAAGCTTCTTTATCAATATTTTCTTATTTTAATATATTTATTTAAATTATTTTATATTAAATTAAATTATATTTATTTTTAATTTTTACGCTTTTATATCTTTTTATTATAATATATAATAAATAGTAAATTAGTATTAAATCTTATTAAAGCTTTATTTAAATAATCGCGTCTATTAAAAAACGGCTTTATTATTATTATTAATTAATATTTTTTATTTATACCTCCTTTTTTAAATACTCGCTTATAATACTTATCTATTAATTTATATTTTTATAGATTTCCTTATATTAGGTTTACTAAATTAACTTTTAATTTAAAATTATAATAAGGCCGTAGATTAGTTATTTTTTTATTATTTGTTTTATATAAGTTTTATAATAATCGCCTTATTATAGCTTTTTAACAAACGGTTTTATTAAATTATTTTAAAAATTATTAATAACATTTTCCTATGTTAAGCCCTTAAATTATTATTTTCTTATATAATTAATAAATTAAAAATAGGTTATATTAAGTTTTTTAATTTATTATAAAAAGATATAATAATTTTAAAATTTAAAATCCGATAATATAAGTCTCTTAAAGACGTTTCCCTTAATTTTTAATAAAAATAAATGTCTTATTTTATTAAAAATATCCCGGTTATAAGCTTTATATAAATTATATAATAGTAAAAAATACTTAGCTATATTGAAATAAAATAATTATTTATATAATTTTTAATAAAAATAAGCCGTAAATAATTATGGGTCGGTAATATTATTTTTATTATTTAATATTATTTTATAATTAATTTTAAATATTTGAAAAAAAATATATTTTAAAATTTATTTAAATATTTTAAATTAATTTTAATATATTAATAAATAATTAATACTTTATTTTTTATATAAGATTATATAAACCATAATTTTTAATTTTAAATTATATTTTATATAATATTAATAAGTTAGTATAAATAATTTAAGTTATTAAAAAGATAGTTTTTAATATTATTATTATTAAATTTAATCCTTAAAGTAATATAAATACTAAAATCTTAATATTTTTAAATATAATAACGAGATTATTAAGTTTTAATAAAAAAATATATTTTATAAAAATAATATAATATCAGCTATTAATTATTAAATTTTTTATAAAAACTATTTTATATTTTTTTAAAAATAATTTTAGTTTTAATAAAAATAATAAGCTTTTATATTATAAAAACTTTATAATATATATAAAAATTTAAATTATTAATAAGTATTTAAATATACGTTTAGTCTTTATTATTTAATTTTATTATTAATATTTTTAAAAGCTTAATATTATTTTTATAGTCCGAGTTATTACCGGTATTTTTTAGCCGTTTTTTTTTTATTTATTTTTACTTACTTTTAAATATAATATTAAAGTTAATATAATAAATATAGAGCTATTATTATATATTAATAAACTTATAAACTAAGGTAGCCTTTTTTTATTTATTATAATTAATAATTATAATATTTAATAAGCAAATTAAATATTAATGAACTAATTAATAAATATTTTTTATAAAAATTAAAACCTTTTTAATTTTTTATTATTAACGAGGCCGAATATTATGTTAAAAATAAATTTAATATATATCTAATTAATAATTTAAAATAATAGAAGCTTAAAGCAATTTATATTATATATATTATTAAAACTAATTATTTTTAAAAAGCGCCTCTATATTAAAAAATAAAATAAAAATATTTATATTAAGTTAATAAGCCGGTTAAGCTCGTTATTAACTTATTTTATAATATAAAGCACCTTTCGCTTGTGAAAAAGCTTTATTAAAACGGTTATTAATAAATAATTATTTAATTTTTTTTATTTATAAAAGCTTTAATATTATAAATATTTTATTAAATAAATATAAAATTTAAAAATTATTTTTAAATAATAATATAAAAATCGTAGGCCTTAATACTAACCTAGCGGTAAATAGTTTTAATAACGTTTTTGATTAATAATATAAACCTTTAATATAAAAAATATACTAAAAAACTAAAGCTTAGCTTATAATTATATTAAATATATTTAATTTTAATATATTA